ATTCTTCCAAACAGATCTCAGTACCAAGCTAAGAAATTGTTTAGACTCTTTTGGTTTTGGGGACTTCACATGCGCTTTCTTTTATGGCCATTCCTGATTTCTGATTTGCCATGAGCACAAGTCTGATGAGAAGCAGGTAAGGCAGCTGGGAAAGGGGCTCAGCCTGGAGAAAAGGAGGCTCAGGGGGCCCTTGTGGCTCTGCACAAGTCCCTGCCAGGAGGGGACAGCCGGGGGGGTCGGGCTGTGCTGCCAGGGAAGAGGGACAGGAGGAGAGGGAACGGCCTCAGGCTGGGCCAGGGCAGGGACAGGGAGGACAGCAGGGAAAATTTCTTCACATAAAGCTCTGTCAATTCCTGGTTCCCGGGGGCAGTGATGGAGTCCCCATCCCTGCAGGGATTTAAAAGCCATGTGGATTTGGCACTTGGGACATGGGTCAGTGGTGGCCCGGGCAGTGTGGGGGAAATGATGGTCTGGGAAGGCTTTTCTGACCTAAATGATTCTGTGATTCTACCAAAGCACCTCTGCTTGGCATCCCCTGTTGAATTCATTGCCAACTCAATCAACAACCATGTTATTTTTATGACATTTCTAGCAGCTGACCTTCTGGTGTTGGTGCTGCTTTCCCAGGGTGATGTGCCAGGGACATAAAGCTGCTCTGGTCCACCTCCCAGGCAGTATCTGCCATCAACATGATGACAATTTACTCCTCCCCTGTGCTCTGGTGCCTAAGTGATTAGCAGTTTTTTTCAGTGAAACAAATGGAAGCTGATGGAGTTGGAAGTACATTGTTAATAAAAGGGGAAACCTAGGAGAAGTGCTTTTAACACCTAAAGCGAAACTTGTTCTGTCAAGAGACTGAAGGCTTTTACCTCTGCTCCTTTTACATATTCTGTGAAATTTTAATGCCCATCGAACTCAAATGCACTTCAATAAATATTAAATTTTGTACCGTATCAAAAACGTGAGAGTTGATGGCATAATGGCACATTTGCATAGCACACATAGAACATCTGACAGAGTGCACACTGATGACAAAATACTCACTGACATAGGGAGAAAAGGAGTAGGGGGGAAAACACAAGCAGATCAGAAAATGTTCATGAAAAACAAATCTCCATCTTAAGTGGCTTAGGTAATGGGGGCTTTTATTTTATAAAGCATTAAACATGGCCTCCCAAGTGTGAGTATTCCATGAAACCAAATGTCAGCTTCCAGTCACTAGCTGGCATTTGAGACAAGTTTTCCCACTTATTGCAGAAGAGTTGTTATCTGCTGGCTAACTCCCCTTGAAATCCTGAGATAAGTCACAGGCTCCAGACACGGTCCTGCTTCTCTCACTCTCCTAATCCTGAAAGTACAGACAGTTCACCAAAGGGAAGGAAGGCAGCCTGAGAACTTTAAAAAAAATAGAAAGAAAGAATGAGGCTAATTTTCACCTATCACTATGATCTCTAAATTGCCTTTAATAAGCTTCTGCAATATAGCAGGGAGCCTGGGTTGTGGGCTGCTCGTCTGCGAAGGAGACAGCTCTATCTCCACGCCATGGCTTCTGCCTCCATCCTGGGCATATTAACTTCATTTATCTCCTCCCACAGACTGAGGGAGAAATAACCAGCTCTTGATTTCAGCACCTGCCCTTTATCTCTCTGTTTGTGCAGAAGTCTTCTAAAAGGCTAATTGCTCAGCTTGGACTTTCTTGGCCTTCCACAGTACACAGCTAAAAGCATATGCTTAAAATAATGTTAATTATATTGTTTGTCTCCTGTCAGACTGCTCCAGGACTGGAAGGAAAATCTGAGTTCTCCCATTTCCCAATAATTATTTGCTAAGAAAATGCAGGATATCTTTCCTAACACGGACACACACACACACATATATATATTTATCCGTGACCTACTGCTACCACACATGCTCACTTTGCATCCCGTGTTGCTTCCCACAGTGGAGAGGAGCAGGAGCATCAGGGTGTGCTCCCAAACTGATAAGCTCCATTATGCAGATGAGGATCGTGGCTCTAAGTGCTGTTATTTTTAGTTGACGTTGATTCATGTTTGAACTATGGGCTAAGCAACAAACTAAGAACCTGAATACATGTAGCACCTTCTGAATGCTCACTTCCTCAACAAAGGCCAAGATAAGCAACTTGAAAACATTCACTTGAAAACACCCATGCATACATTAGGTACTTACACACAAGAAAAAAAACATCATTGTCTGAGCTGCAGGGAAGTGAGTGAGTAAAAGCTCTGCCTCAGCCCTCATTTTCCAAATCATATCTGTGTTTCATCTGCCTCCCCCAGAGTGCTTCAGCTGAAGCTGGTTATTTCTAGGAGGCAGGAATAATATCTCTGTAGGGTCTCTTGTACTTTACAGCACTTCAGTGTGCTGTGGCAAAAGGCAAAGATGTCTTGAAAATTAGTTAGCAATTAACTGCAAAGCTGATATATGTATATATATATTCTTGGGATTGAACTCCACAGCTTTGCACATTGGAACTATGTGTAGGTTTTGTCAACATAGATGCAACAGATTCACAATTCCTCCAGACATTGTCCAAACTGGTTGAGCACAAGTTGCCCCCGGTCCTGGGGAGAGCCCTGGGCCCCTCAGCACAGGAGAGACACCGAGGGGCTGGAGCGTGTCCAGGGCAGGGAACGGAGCTGGGGAAGGGGCTGGAGCCCCAGGAGTGGCTGAGGGAGCTGGGGAAGGGGCTTAGCCTGGAGAAAAGGAGGCTCAGGGGGCCCTTGTGGCTCTGCACAACTCCCTGAAAGGTGCCATCAAAGCCAGTGTGGGTAGGGCTGCTCCCACCCATCCAGACTTGCCCAGAGAGTGTCATTAAAGACATAAGGATTAAAGCTTTCTCCTTTATTTAGCTGCTGAAATGCCTCAGAGTTGCCAGAGTTATTGTGTAACTGTATCTTCAGTCTGATCTTAATATGAGTTTGTTGAGCTTTAGAATAGCTTCCCCTGAAAACCTCAGACTCAAGTGGGAAGACCTGAGGAACTGGGAGACTCCCAGGGAGAGGCATAAGGACAGAGGGCACAGACTCACAAGGCCGTTTCTATAGGAGGGAAACATGTGCTGCTCCTCATCACTATCTGTGCAAAGGAAGGATGTTATTTGCATGTACAAATTGATGCATGACAATACATACATACATACATATCTATCTATAGATATAGAAACACCTCACCCCAAGGTCAATGTCACCTTTTGGTGACATGGAAAAATAACGTACTCTGGCCAAACTGCTGCTCAGCAAAGTAATAAAAAAGAAAAGAAATAGAAAAAAGAAAACAAAATGAAGGGAAAAAAAAAAAAAGAAGGAAGTAAAAAAGAAAAATAAGGGAAACCAAAGGAAAGCAGAAGACAAAACCCAGTAGGTGTAAGCAGTCAGTATAAAAGATTAGTGTGCCAGGCTGGCTGTATTCCCTTTGTAAGTCTGCCCCAAAATCCAAGCGCTCCAGAGGAAAGGGAAGTGCTCCAAGCAACACTAAGCATCCTTAAAACTGGAAGTACTTGACTGTTTGGTGAGGACTTTTAGAGCTTGGCACATGCCAAAAACTGCTGGTTTATTGCATAAAGTGGCAGTATAAATATATAATTTTGAGTACTGTATATTGTTAGTGCAGAAAATTTAAACTTGATTGAATTTGACTCCAGAAACAGCATTTCTGTAAATTGTGGCCTGACATGTCAGTCAATGTGGCACACTCAGTAACTGAGAAAACCTTCATTTTTTTCCTAAGCAGTGAATTTATTTGGTGATGGCCCTGTGTCAAGAAAGAATCACTGTAGCCTCAAAGTAAGAGCTTTTAATTATCTGCACATAAGAACAAGTTGTCATAGAAACAGCCAAAGTTCCAGTGTTCCTCTGTATTCACAGCATCACCACATAGAAAGGACAACCTGAAGGGCTGGATTTGGATCCAACAACTGCTCTGGTGTTACTCAGACTATTCCTGTACTGCAGCTTAGGACTTGGACTCTAGACCAACCTCTCTTGAAGGAATTCAATCTGAGTGACTGAAGATGTGACATCTCAGGGACACAGGGAACTGCAGGAAAGACATTAGTTTATGTAGCCAGCTAGAAAATTCCCACTGGGTGTTTTAAAATTACCAGCATATAAATAAATTACGTTGCCAGTGGCTGTACGGACTGAGTGTGCCTTATCAGAGGGTATTTTACTAAAGTTACCACAAAAGAAATGGTGCTCTCACTCTCTCCACAGAGTAGCAACAAAAATAGTTCTTCAGAAAACAGACAGTATTTAAAATACACTTGGCGTTAACAGAGAAACAAGATTCATCGTGTTTAAAAAACACACAGAGCTCCCATTTGCTTACTTACCCACTTACACAGATTTCTTTATTGCAGTACTTAAACATCACACAGCCATTAATGGATTTTAGCCTCACAAAACCTGTCAAGTTGGTAAATCCCTCAAGAGATTTGAGAGGTTCTCAGAAAGGAATGGAGGAGACTGCTCAGGATTATACAGAAAGCTCATCAGCATGTTGACCAGACTTACAGGTCTTGAACTGATTTTCACTAGGTTGGGTAATTCTTAACTAAAGCCCCCCAAATTTATCTTTATAGCATTTAATATAGACCCAGACAGAGGTGCAGAACATTAGAGACAGAAAAAGAAATTAATCAAAAGAGAGAATTATCAATGTTTAGTTAGAGCATAACTAAACAACAGATGGAGCGAGGAGCCTGCATCTTCAGGATACGATGAAGAAAACCTTAGCTTCAGCAAATTTTAATTCCTCCACACGCTTCAATTTAATAACTAATCACAAAAACTCACCCAAACACTTATCAGAAATTAGGAATTTAAATGAAAACATACACATATGGCAATCGACAGTGTAATCACTTATCAGTCACTACTGAGAAGAGAGATGATTTTTTGAAGTTACAGACATAAAGGGCATGTATGTGTAATTGACAGGAACAGTGTACTTCAAGTGATGAGGTCTTAAGCACTTACTCTTAGCCTGTCTTTGGGCAAAGCAACAGCTCCTTGCTTGATGATTTCCAGAACTCGCTCCACTGACAGCTCAGCTCCAGCTTGCTCTAATCGGGAGCTGAAAAAGCTGATCACCTGGAATGAAACATCACAGCACATAAATAAATAGAAGAGATCTGTGGATCAATTTATACACAAAGCTGTCATCTTCTTTTTTGGCACCGCTGTATCTGCACTTCTTAAAGAATAATCACATTATTGCCTGTGTCACAGCCAGGGAGACTTTGTTAATGTCAAGTTAGCACAACTCTCAGCATCCTCCTGCAGTCATTTTAAGCAGACAGATAATTTTACAATTAAACACACAGAGCTGAATTAATAGATTTACATTTTCAAGTACGATGAACTGACACATTTCTTTCTGTCAGTTCTGCCCATCAGACTTTTGAGTTGTTCTAGTCTTTCTATGATTTGAGCTAGAAATTTACTTTCATTGTAAAGCATTAAAGTAAAACCATTATAGTTTCACTGACTTGTAGACAGAAGGCTTCAAGACAACTCTTAAGTATCTCAATATGAAAGACTCCATTTCCTGGGAGTTGAATAGTACTCAAAGCCACAGCAAGGGGATAGCAAGAAGTAAGTCCATAAAGCCCCTCTCCTACCCAATATCCATCCCAGGTGCTGCACATACCTTCCACATCCTGGATTCTAGGCCCAAGGAATCCTGCAAATTCCCTCTCATCTTCCAGACCTCCCCCTGGTGAAGCCAAGCTGATTTTCCTCATATTTCCTTTCCCACTCCCTTTTCTGTGACCCAGCTGGTCCTTGTTAGCTAGAACTCAGTTAGGTCAGGCTTTAACTTTTATCCCTCTCCAAGCTCGGTAGGTCACACCAGAAGCAGACATCCCACCGACAGTTATCCATGTGTGACATCAGAAAACCTCCTTTCACCCAAAAAGAACACACTTTGCAAACCCCTTATCCCAGGGAAACTCCTTAGTCACACAGGGGATCCAGGACTCAAAATACAAAAAGGGTCTGGGGTAAAATTTCAACACCTACTTAGAATCCTCTGGAAGGCAGGAGGCACTTGGTAGAGCCTGTCTACATCAGAGCACCTGGCTATTCCTGGGCTGGAGGCAAGCCTAATGCTGACGGTAGGTTCTGCAAAATCCTGTGAGCTTTCAACACACTCTGGAAAAATACTGATGTTCACTTCTATCTGAATCACAGCCCCAGTCCATCGAGTAATCTTCAATAATTCTCCCAAGCAGAAGGGGGGAAAAGTGTATTATACTACAAAATCTCTGCTGAGCTCTCTTTGTTCTGTAGTGAGACACAGCTGGAGCCAGAAACCATTACCCTAATTATGCCTCCCAGCTCAGCTGCTGTTCATAAAACAAAGACAGCTGATGGCTTGATTACTGTGAGATTCAAATTTGTTGTTCCTGTTTGTGACTTCCCCCACAGAAAGCCCAGCCCTTGTTTGGAGCTGGAAGGTTTGCTGGGATCTCTAGAAACTCTTGCACCAAGTGAATGAGACAGAGGCAGACTAAAGTTGCTGTAAGTGGCTTTTTGGGGTTGTCATGGGATTGTGCTGTTTGTTTTGCTTTGGTTTTTTTTCCTGTTTTATTTTGTTTCTAACAACAGAAGTACAGGAATCAGTCAAGAGAAAATTCAGGTTTAATCTTCTGTGCTGTCCCTACGATTATCTTCATACTTCAGCAGAAAGGGAGAATTTCACTGCCTCTGGCAGATGCTACAGGTAGGCTTTTACATTCTTAGAGATAAGGACCTGGTAGAGCAATGTGATCTCTGATCCTTAGAAAAAAACAGGAGTAGGAAGATGTGCTGGGATCATAAGGAAAGGAGCTGGAGGGAGGGACCAGAAATAACAGAGTAAAATAGCAAGAAACAGCTTGTGCAAGGAGCGTGAGGACCTCGGATTGAGGCTGACATGGTTTTGGCATAGAGTTTGGGACAAATTGCTGGTGGAGGATACACAGCTCACAGAGGAACAAGCAAGTTGCCCACAGATTTTGAAAGAAAAAAACATCTTCCTGCATTTCAACACTCCTCTGTTGTCAGTAATCACTGGTGAAACTCATCCTTGCCAAGGGCAGGCTCCTGCAGAGAATCCATCCCAGTGGCACTGCCTTGTTAGCTCAAGTTCTGCTAAACCACAACAAAAGCAAAACCTAATATTTAGCTTTTAACCAAAAATACTATCATAATGCAAACATGTAAAAAAACTGAATGAAGCTCACAGATACTCCCTGAAATCTGACATTTCCTATTTTGGGAAGTCAAACCCTTCAATCTTAACATGTTTTTAAAAGACTTATGTTTTTGTGGTAAAGGTACTAATCTTCTTTGGGTTGTATTTCAAAAGAACAAAAGCAAGACAGGCTTCCAGTATTTTCAGGCTATGTCAGCATTTTAGAGAACTCAGAATGGCTATTTTTGATGTGTAGTTGATGACTACAGTTAAAAATATCTACTTTAATAATGGTACTTATCACTAGGAGTTATTTGCCTTACTACTTCTAATAACATATAAATGAAGTATCTCTCATTTGGACCCTGAGATCACAATATCCCAATGTGACAGTGAGGTACCCAAAAGAATCCCAAGGAAGTAAGAAAACAGAAAAGCAAAAAGAAAAAAATAAAAGACGAATTATACAGAGGAGATCCTAAAGAAGGCATTTTCTTGTTAGCTCCGGATCAGGAATAAAACCAAAGAGCATCCAGTATTATATCCCTCATGCCCAAGCTCTGACCTCTGTAGCAGAAGGTCTAATACTTTTCTTACTTATCTAGTCATATATAAAAGCATAAAAGCTCAGCATCATATTAAGGAAGAGTAGCCTTTACCTTTGAAAGAGCTTTAATTATCTTCTACACTTAACTAACAATTACAGAGGTGAATTAAAAAAAAAAATAAAGTTAACAGATTTCCACTCCTTGTCCCATTGAAAGTAAAATGAACCAGAAAAAATAAACTGGATGAATAGTATTAAATGAGTTTCATGTGTAAGTGCATTTTAAAACCAACTGAGCATATGACTGTATGAATACAAAAACCCCAGATCTTAGTGCAAATAAACAAAGCTGAGAAATGGTGTCTTCCTGATACTCTGAATATTAATTTTCTCTTTAATTATTTGGGCAACTGGTCTAAGAAAACAGAAAACAACTGCAGAAACTGCTTAAAAAGAAGAATAAGAAGAAACTCCACACGCTGCTATGAATGACATTTCCTAGTCATGCTGAGCACTGAAAGGCCTCTCCATGAAGGAAAATAACCCATTCTAAGAGCTCTCTCTCCAGTCTGGCTTCCATATTAACAGAGATTAAAAGGCACATCTAATGCTGGATTAGACAACCCCTCATCAGGAATATCTGATCCCTGTATGGAGAGCCTTGCCCTGAAGAGAGTCTAGTCCTGGCTGTGCAAGGTACCCAGACATGTGGTATGATGGCCACAGGGGACCTGGCTTGGCCACCTCTAGCTCAGGCCCTGCCAGGGTTTGTATTAAAATACCATTAACATTTCTATAAAAAAACTGTTTTCTATAGTGATTTTCAAAAAAAAACTGTTTTCTATAGTGATTTTCAAAACTGGTTTTAATTGCAGACTCATGGAATGATTTGGTTGGGAAGGGAACCTTAAAGATCATCCAGTGCCACCCCCTGCCGTGGACAGGGACACCTTCCACTATCCCAGGCTGCTCCAAGCCCCATGCAAACTTGCCTGCAGCACTTCCAGGGATCCAGGGGCAGCCACAGCTGCTCTGGGAAACCTGTGCCAGGGCCTGCCCACCCCATCAGTGAGAATTTCTTCCTAGAGATCAATTTTCCATGAGAAACTCATACTTTCTCCTTTTGTTTTCTAAACCTTGTAAACTTACAAGGTATTGCCAGAGATTAAAAGTACTACAAGATTAGAATGATTTAGAAACATTTTTCATTTAAAGGCAATATTTTAGGTTTTGGAGATTATCTTTGAGATTGTGAGGGAACAACCACAGTGTCTGTTATTTCACCCAACTATTGTTTTCAATTGGGCTGCAAGGCTGAAGTAACAAAATATTTCCCTTTACAGTACGCCAACAGCAGAGCTATCAAGGGCAAGATGTTTTCTCCACTTGGATTCTGTCAGCAGATGCTGAAGTGCTGTGAGGCCTGCGGCAGCCCAGGCAGTGCCTCTGCTTAATGAACATGACAGCTCCTCTCTTTCTCCTCCAGCTAAAAATAACAGTACAACACGTTGCTGCCTCCTCTGCCTGCAACTGCAAAGGTCAGTTCTGCAAGACAGAAGAAAAAATCACTTGGCACTAAGTAAGTTTTGAACCTGTTTTTGTCAATTTTGCTTCCCTTTGAAAGTGATTGAAAGAAACACTTTGAAACACTTCCCAGCCACTGGGAGAGTAATATGGTGTATTGATGGCACACTGAATGGAGAAGAAAAGAAGAAAACAAACCTCTCACTGTAAAGTACCACAGGATTAGCACTTCAACTAAGTAGCTTCCATTGGGAAACATAAATCACAACTACACTTGGTATCCAGTAGTTGTACCTGAAGCAAATGGGAGGCAAATTCTCACTGATTTAAGAAGGAGTGAAACAACTTCAGGTGATTCAATAGCAGGAGAAACACCAGAGGTTAATCAGCAAACTTGAAGAACAGTATTTTTCAGAATCACCTTGAAATGAGGAACATGTTCAAGGACACGTGAGCTTTTCCAGGTATTCTGCTCTCCACTCCTAGGGTGTAGGAGTGAGGAGAAAAAGAACAGGCAAAAAGACACCCTCCCCCCCAAAAGCAAACAAACAACCAAAAAAGCTCCAACCCAAACCCACCAAAACCTCAAATCCTTAGAGTATTTAGCCAGACTCTGGTAATCAGCAGGATCAAGGTTTTTCTAAGGACATTTTAAGGAAAGCCATAAAAACTCAGTTCTGAAGTCCTGCAGGTCTTACAACAGGGGTTGCTATGCCAGAGCAAAGCCAACTTGATTGATTTTAAAATCTAGCAGGGAAATGTCTTTGAAGAATTAAATTCCTTGTAGGAAATTGCATCAATCGAGTTCCTTTGCATCACTAAGCCATTGCTCCCAATCTCCTGATGTCTATCAGACTATTTTGCAAACAAAATTCTAGCAGCTCCTAGTTAGGCCTGTTCCACCACCTGGTATCAGTTGCTCGCTTGTAGGAATTATGAGAGCAGTGAAAGCCAAGGAGTTCTCACCGTGGCCATGAACCAAACACATCTTTAGGAATGATAAGCGAGGAGTCTCCACTAAATTCCTGACATATCTGAGGTGGCTGACCAAATTACAGACCACCTCTGAAGTGGAGGCATATAGACAGCTCCCAGCTGAAATATTTCTGCACAAGGCCAGAAGAGGAACCATAGCATTCCTCTTTGTTCATATTCAGAAGAATATCCTGTTTTAGCTAAACAAGATGCGCTATCTCTTACTAAAATGGCTTTCTAAAGTGAAGAGTAAAGTAATAGGAAGCAGAAGGTATTTTGATTTCAGTTTCTTCTGTAGAGTATTAATGGTTCCCGTATGTTCCCAATCATTGCAATGGTGATTTTTAGATTATTTACAAAAATACAGAGGCAAATAAGTAGTTTTCAATAAAAAGTGGTCAATACACTGATGACCCTTATACATTCACCTATTTTTGCCTCAATGATAAAGCACACAGAGATTATGTGCATCTCCAGATTAAACTGAATGGTCCAAATCCTGAGGAACAGCCCAGAGTTAGAGAGTTACTGTGGCCAGGTCTGTATTAAAGGTAACCTGAGCAATTCCTGCTTTGGTCTGAGCTCTAGTGGGGCTGCAGAGGCATCCCCACACCTACCTGTGCCTACAGACCTAAGCTAGTCTGTCCTCCACCCTACTGCCATGCTGCCAAATCTCTGCTCCAGAGGTCCCTGAAAACCTACCACAGTGCTTCCTTATTCCTAACCTTGGAAAAGTCTCTGCTTATGACCTGAGAACCCACAAGTATGTGAAAGAGATTATTCCACTTCCCTTCATAGCAGCATTTTATTTGAAAAATACCACATCACTTTCCCCTTCCTTTGGCAAATCAGCACTTTCAGAGGTTCTGCTTTCTACAGCTCTTATTTCTACCTGGAATATCTTTCATGGCACCAGCTGAGCATGAGTCCAGGTATGCCCAGCTGGGCAAGAGGCCAGTGGCCCCTGGGCTGTGCCAGCCAGGTGTGACACAGCCCCAGGGCAGGGCCCGTCCCCTGTGCCGGCGCTGCTGAGGCACCTCCAGTGCTGGGACAGCTCTGGGCCCCTCAGCACAGGAGAGACCCCGAGGGGCTGGAGCGTGTCCAGGGCAGGGAACGGAGCTGGGGAAGGGGCTGGAGCCCCAGGAGTGGCTGAGGGAGCTGGGAAAGGGGCTCAGCCTGGAGAAAAGGAGGCTCAGGGGGCCCTTGTGGCTCTGCACAAGTCCCTGCCAGGAGGGGACAGCCCGGGGGGTCGGGCTGTGCTGCCAGGGAACAGGGACAGGAGGAGAGGGAACGGCCTCAGGCTGGGCCAGGGGAGGCTTGGGTTGGACATTGGGAAAATTCTTCTGTGGAAAGGGCTGTCCAGCCCTGTCAGAGCTGCCCAGAGCAGTGCTGGAGTCCCCATCCCTGCAGGGGTTTGAAGACCATGTGGATGTGTCACTTGGGGACTCGGGTCAGTGGTGGCCTGGGCAGTGCTGGGGAATGGTTGGACTCCATGGTCTTGAAAGTTTAATTCAGCCTAAATGATTCTTAGATTTTAAACCCAGAGTAATCCAGCCAAGATTTTACCAGTGTGATTAGGCTTAGAGAACACCTCTGGGTTATTCTTTTCTTGTATACACACACGGAATTGCAGCAGATGCCTTTTACTATTTGCACCATCAGCTACTCATTATTACATCCCCAGTACATTCTCCAATTAATTTTTCATCAAATTTGTAGCCTTTTCACCTCTTCCATGATTCCTTTTGGTTGATGAGTACATTATGTCCAACTGAATAAAAATAATAAGCATTTAAGTCTTTATATGTCATATCTATTTTATACATTCTTGACAAGGCAAACTGGCAACTGTTCTGGTGTCCAAAACTCATTACAGACTTTACATGCTCTGTATTTTGCTCTGATTTTTGCAGCATTAAACATTATCACACTGTCTGTTAGTATTTTTCTATGAAATACAAATCTGGACTACAGTTTACAGTGGGAGAATCTTTCATCAAGTGGTGGGTAGAATTTGATGGAGTAGAGGGATGACAGAGTGACACAGTGCGTAACAGGCACCTACTGCTCACGTGAATCTCTTTCTGATTATTGGAATCATACAATTCCAGAATGGTTTGGGTTGGAAGGGACCTTCAAAGGCCATCTAGTCCAATTCTGAGGCACCAGCCCCAGCTGCTCTGGGCACCCTGTGCCAGGGCCTGCCCACCCTCCCAGCCAGCAATTCCTTGCCAATATCCCAGCTGGGCCTGCCCTCTGGCACTGGGAAGACATTGCCCCTTGTCCTGCCACTAAATGCCATTGTCAAAAATTACACTCCTAGTATGCATGGGTGCAGATAATCAAAATATTTTGCTGTTTATGACCAGAGAAAGTACCAAGAGAGGGAGTCAGGATGTAGCAGAGCCCCTGCAGACATATCTGGGGAGCTTTAGAAAGGTTATTTTTCTTGACCACCTTTGCATTACCAAAAGTTGCAACATTTATCATTTCCATCTACAATTCACATAATTTGGGCCACAAGATTTCGTTGATCACAACAGCCTGAAAGCCAACACAGCTCCCCACTACACAGGAAGTTGGTGGATACATCCTCTTCTGAATAACCAGCCTTGGTCACACAAAAAGCCCAGCCAGCTCACTATTCTATATCAAAGTAGGCTAGGATGGATGCTGAAATAAGAATACTAGAGCAGGTCAAGAATGAGGAGATCCTCCCCAGGAATATATCCTCCCAGCTTTCAGCAACATACAGTTTAGAAATTTATCAAGCTAAATATTTTAAGATTTTTTTTCTGACTCTTTTTAGAGTACAGCTACATTTCAGACATCCACAATGTCCCATACAGCTGTGAGGAATGAGCTCCCAGCTCCACCACTGCAGAGAAAAGTCTGGTAAGTTCTTGGAGACAGAAACTCATTTTGGTTCTTCTTAGATCCTGCCCACATGGTTCCCAGACAAGCTCCCTGCAATGTGTAGAGTAAAACTAACATGATTTGCCACTGTTTCAGGGGACAGCAAGACCAGTTAGAACATTCTGGCTGCAGCACTAAAGACAAAGACTGGTTCTGTATGGTGCTGCCAATACTGTGTATGAAGTGCAGGACGTGACAGGGTAGACAAGGAGTCAGATGAATCTCATCTTTTATTCAGATCTACAAGCCTGACAGCTCTTACCACTTCCCAGATGGTGACAGGTACATTTAAAAAAAAATATTTAAAAAATTCTTTTTTTGACGTCCTTGCTTCTCTAACAAAGGAGCTATTTAAAAATTCAACATGCTCCCTTGGAAAGCTTTAAATAGTTTTTGAATGTAACTGGCATTATGCTGTAACCCAATATTAAATAGTTTTGGGGAGGAATTGTTTAAATTGTTGAGGAAAACCTACATTTAACTGCTACAAAGGAAAGGACGTGCTGCTGTCTGTGGGAGGCACAGGGCTGCAAGCAGAAGGATCTGGCCACCACCAGTTATCCTGGATGTGGGCAAGTAACCAGAGCAGGTCCCTATCTCGGTCAGGAATGTAGACAACTGTTATCTTCAGTGCACCATATCCTCTTTACACAACTTTAAGACATCTTGTTCTAATCATGCAGACAGTATCATGCTGCCTGTAGTCTGCAGCTGCTGAAAGTTTGGAGAGTTTTGAGCTTCAAGTTCTCCACTCCCTAAACTCCTGCACAACCAGAAAATGTGAAGAGAGTACAGAAGAAGGAGGAATAGGTACAGAGCAGGATTTCAGTTTAGCATTTAAAATTACTTTCCTTTATGGGCAGTCACATATCTGCCAATCTCCTGCAAATAAAAGTAAATCAAACCAGAAACTCTGCAGATTATTAGACACAATAATATTTTATTCACTGCATCCAGAGACTCAGCAACCTGCTCAGCCCTCCCTTCCAGTATTTTGTGCTTCAAACATTGCTCAGCTCTGCAAATATTGACTAGAAGGCAGAGAAACATTTGTAATGCTTCAAATTTTTCTAGCAGAAGCTCAGGCTCTCCATATGAACATTAAAACTACTATCAGATGCAAAAGTAATTAACAACTGTTTTCCAAAGTCCTACTCCACTGAGAGTCACACTAGTAGCAGCTTCCTATCCACAGCTATTTTCTTCTGTTTTCTTCTAAAATGTTTCCTTACACAAGGGGAAGGCTGCTGTGAAGAAAACACTTGGCAGGTGAAAACAACACACATTCAGATACAGACAGGGGATGAGACAGCCGAATGCCTGCTCTTCAGTTATTTAAAAGTAATTCCCTGTAATTATTAATCGGCTGGTGATAGGAGTAAGAGAAAAGGATTGTCTGATGAAAATTAGCTTTTGCTCCCCTCAAAGGCAGGTTTCGAACAAGGGATAGTCAAGAGAAGCTGACACTGTCCACTCCTTCGGGGCTGAAAGTTGTGTCACATCTTGGGAATTCCTTACCACAGGCATCTCAAAATCCCTCTGAGTCTCCTGAGTTAAAGATGTTGGAAAGGGTTGTTAAAGAAATTAAAGGGTTGGAATGAAATGACCTTTAAGGTCCCTTCCAACCCAAACCATTCTGTGTTTCTATGCTGCACTGAAGTCATCACAGTGCAGGCCCAAAAAACAGGGAAGAAAATTCCAACATTTTAAAACAAACTGGTCAGAGGTGGTAAGTATTTTCTACCTCCCAAGATTACAAAGAGATCTCATAACCAGGTGTAACCATCTCGGAGGTCACATATCACTCACCAGGTCTATATTTTGCATGATGTCCTGGAAGGAGGGGTGAGTCCGAAACTGCTCGAACAGATCCCGCTTGTAGAGCAGAGCATACACCAGGTTGGGGTTGTGATGGAGGGAGTTGGTCAGGCAGGAGTTGATGATCTCCAGCATCATTCGGATCACTTCCTCAATCACATTCAAGTCTTGCGCCTTTAAGAAAGGAGTAAAAGGTCAGTGTGCCCTTTTCCATTGTAAAATATAAAGAAATAAAGGCAGTGGACAGGTAATTATTACTAATAGAGCTATTAGCTGGTAATGTCTCTATGGTGAGCAAATCTGGCATCCATGTGTCTGGAAAGGAAACAGTTTTCTCCAGCAATCACCAAAATTTTAATTGAAATGCCTCGTACTAGTACTTAGCCTCTTAGCTTGATTTTCCCAGTAGGAGCCATCACAACAGCATTACTGTATTATAATCAGCCAAACTCATAAAGGTTAAGTGAACAGTCTTTTCAACTCTTCCTATTCTAAGAAAAAGCATTTCAGCATAATTTATTTATTAATTTATTACATTTTCTGTTCTGTTCCTATGCAGGAAGGAGTGATAGGGAAAAGGGAGAAAAAAGAGAAGAAGGAAAACTGTTACCAGACTTTTTCCCTTTGACTATTTTAAAAAATTATTTCCTTGGCATTGAAGAACACTTGTAATAAATGAAAAAAGGAATCTCCTTTTGTAGTGCACTAAGCCTTCACACTAAGATAAACTTGTAGAGCTCTTCATTTTGTCAGCGCATTTGACAACTCAAACTTCCTAAGCTGAACAAGCTGTCTTGTGAACTCTTGCCAGATATCTGGATTACTCTCCTTGAGTTCCACATCAGGATATCTCCAGAGTGGTTATTCTGATTGCAGAGTTGTCTGTCCTACCTTGGAATAGGGTAAAAAAAAGGTACTTCTACCTTGTTTGTACCATTTAGTTTGTCTCAATCACATCAAACACTGGACTGTGAGACTTTAAAGGTCTGGTAAGAATGTGAACCTTACTAAACCAGCTTGAGTTTTTCTGCTGGATATGAACAATGAAACTACCGACATTTCCTTTTGCTGACTGCCCACAAAGTTCATTTACTGAGTTATCACAAGGTACTTAAATCTTCATAAAAAGAGAGTACTTACAACAGCATTTTGTTGAGCTGTCATTCAATCTGCACAGTTATTTTCTACTATTAAGAAGCACTGTAGGAATTGTCATGTGGCAGATGTATGGCTCTCACCAAGGCAGAAGAGAACACAGGAATCTTCATTATCCTGTTTAAACTCATGAAGAGCAAAATTCTTTGCTACCACTTTGCTCTGGCTGCTTTCCATGCAAAGCAAGGTGAATTTCTTCCTAGAAGTGTACATCACAGAATCCCAGAATGGTTTGTGTTGGAAGGGAGCTTTAAGCTCATCCCACTCCACCCCCTGCCATGGCAGGGACACCTTCCAGTGTCCCAGGCTGCTGCAAGCCCCAGTGTCCAGCCTGGCCTTGGACACTGCAGGGATGCAGGGGCAGCCCCAGCTGCTCTGGGCACCCTGTGCCAGGGCCTGCCCACCCTCCCAGCCAGCAATTCCTTGCCAATATCCCAGCTGGGCCTGCCCTCTGGCACTGGGAAGACATTCCCCCCATCCCATCTCTCCAACCCTTGTCCCAAATCCCTGTCCTAGATGTGCCTTTCAGAAGGCAGCACCATTCCCCTAACCTGCTTCTCCATTTCTTTTGTGACACTGAGGACCATGAAGAAGTGAGATCCCATCATTATTCCCACATTTCAGTCTCGTTATCCCCAACACCTGTCTTCTACATGTCCAAGGGAGATTAAGTGGAAGCTTTTTGGAGCTCTTGTTTGAAGAGGAATATCTTGTGCATGCATTCCAGTAAAATTCCTTCTTTAGCAATGATGCCTGATCTAACAGTGAGGGTTATAGATTTTTTTCTGAATGTGAGTATCTCCTATTTTTTAAATGACTTTACCACCTAAATTAGCAGTGTAGTGTAGATAATGATGGCAAAAACCTTTACAAAGCTGACTGCTGTCAATGGGATCACATTCTTCTATGACAAAAATAATCTTTACTTTCAAAACGCAGGTGGTTCCTCTGCCTGTAGTTACCTAGTTATTGCACTGTGAAACAGCATCCCAGGTAGGTGTTGTGAAGAGTATGTAATGGAAAATATTAGACAAAAATAGAAATAACTGCTTCAGTTGGGACCTGAAGAAAAATCCAGACCTAACTCACCTGGGGAATGGTGCTTGCCTATCAACTCAGATTTACTGCAGAATTTGCTTATTACAGTGTCTTTTTAAAAGCTCTGAACATACCAACATGCCATACTTCTGCCCCCAGAGCAGCAGGGTGAGCTACTGACCAAGACACTATTCTACATTACAGACTACATGACTTCCACAGAAATAGTATGATTCCAAATCAAGTGAGATCTATCCAGTTACCAGACAGGTAAAAAATCACACTACTGCTTTTCAAAAACTAAATGTTTTTGAATAAAAGGTGTTCATCTAAAACTCCAGGCAAACAGCTAATTGAAACAGAAAGCATTGCTACCCATTTTCCAAGAGGCTGGAGACTCTGCTAGTGGTCAGCTTCAAAGAATGGAAAGGTTCAGAAGTTATTGCACAGTAATTAAATTTAACATTTTTAAGAGCTGATGGACAGAATCCACCATCTGTACTTCAGCTACCACACTGCAGATGCAGAATCTGGGACCCCCATGAAGAAAAATAGGGGACATAGTGAAGATTTTTACTCAAAACTGACTACACAAGAAAGAATTTATAAGAGGAATGATCTCCATAAAAGACATAGAAGTGGCACTGAATTCCTGTATTGCACATACATTATCAGGAGAACTGTCTGCTCCTATAATTAGAGATTGAATCATTCCTTAGGGTTTAAAAGTTTTCAAAACAAAGGAAAAAACAAGCATAAATCCAAGGACAGCATTTGGATGAGACAGTGGAGAAATGCTGATAAAATGCCATGTGGTTTTGTTGCTCTGTGTCATCAGTATCAAGCTACAGCCCCACTGTGTCCAGACATGGTATCAAGACAGGTATAAATAAAGTTACATTTACATTTTGTTATTGCAGTTTATCACCCTGTGTATTACTTTCAGAGCAGCTGAACACAGCTGAAATGCTGAATGTGTGTGGTCAAGGCAAGGACTAACACATCATCCTCAGCAGCTTTGTAAGACCATTTTTTTTTACAGAATTAGATGTTATATGAAAAGTCAAATATTGATCTGTGAAACATAGACATGCTTCAATCTATTGAACAGTATATTTAAAGGAGAGGAGTTAAAAGTTTCCTGTTGCTTACAATTGACAAATTCAGTGTGGCACTCACATTTAAGATTACTACAACATTCCTTTACAAAACAGGGCTCAGATAATGCCTTTGTCAACACTGACGTGTATCAGTCCTCCCCCACCTATTTTTTTGGTTTATTTCCATAGAAATAATTATAACCATCATTAAAAAGAAAAGTGGAAGCTAAAAGCTTGATACTGACACTGTGAGACTGAAATCATGCCTGCAAAGGGGACAGGAATGTAGGCACATCCCTCACATTATTGTGGGTAATTCTAGGTAGTCACCTCATGTTCCTTCTCAGGAGAGAAATTAAATGTTGTGCTTTTTTGCAAAGATTCTAACTTTTAAGGCAAAATGTTTGGTCATGTTCTAGATGCACAAGGGATAAACCAGGCAGTGACAGCTAGAAGACAGCCAGGTACATATCTGGGTAGTCTTTTGTTAAAAGGAAAAAACAAGTGATCATGCCAGAGAAAAGAGAATGGAAATAAACTGAGAGGATGCAGGGGAAAACATGATGAATGAGAACATTATCTGGGGAAAAACACTTTGAGTTTGATAAACACTATCAAGGAACACACAAAAGTTCTAAGACAAGGCAAACGATGGGCAGAGCTGGATATTCCTGGATCTGACCATCTTGAATACTGTTTTCCTTACTGCAGTACAATTAATAATTAGCATAGTATCCTCCTGGGCAAACACTTCCACAGAATTCAATATTTACATCCTGATGTATAAAACCACTTGAAAAATATATGGCTTTAAAATATCAAGAGAAGTCAAGCAGCCTAATCATGAAACCCCAGGCATTTGCTCATAGTTTGGTTCTTTACAGATGTATTTACCCATTAAAAAACTAATCACTGTCAGCAGAGGATGCAAAAACTCAGTGTCACCAAAAACGTGTTTAATTTATGGTGCCCCGTCTCCTGGTTCCCACAATAGAACATTCTGAGTTCTCATCCTTTGAATTCAATTTGACATTGAATTTCTTTTAATTATTATGATGATGAAAAACTGATTAAAACAGCTCTATCATGAATGAATGCAAATTTCCACCCTCTAAATGTTACCAGTTTTGAGGAGCTAAAGAGAGGCATGTCTTGTGTAATTCAGCTTAATGTTGCATAACCATTCCTCGTGGTTTGTAATGTCTAATATAAACAGAGACAAAATTATTCAGCTCTCTGTTTCCTTTCCTCCAAAGTTAGTTTGTATGGAAAATAATAGCTGGTTGAAAAATCCGAATTTTGGTGACTTGTAATGCTATGAAATGACATCAGTAAGCAAAGGTGGACATGTGTTTCTCTTCCATGATGAAATTATCTCCTTGATTAGCCCACTTTTTGACTTTCAGTTCTGTGTCCAGGTGGTGACAGACTTCTTAATGATATTTTTCATTTTTGATTGTTAACCCAGGAAGATATGCTGCACACTCAGCCACAGCTGGCACAGGTTTCTAAGAGAAGCTGTGGTTGTTCCATCCATGGAAGTATCCAAGGCCAGGTTGGATAGGGACCCTTGCATAGTGGAAAATGTCTCTGCCCATGGCAGGGGTGGAACAAGACCAACTCTAAAGTTCCTTCCAATCCAAACCATTCAGGGACTATATTCCATGATTCCAAGAAGCATTAGTGAACAAACTTAAGTCTTGTACCATGTACACATGACAGTTACATGCTTCAGACTGCAAATTACAGATATGATTATATATTTATTTATTGCAAGCTGAAATTCCCTTAAATGCAATGATTTGGTTTTCCTCCCTTTTTTCAGGATGTACAGTAAGCCCCAATCCAAAGCAATGAATAATTGTAAGCCTAAAGAGGTCT